TCATTTGCAAACACTTGGTTTGCACAACACAGAGAGAACAGCTGTGCTTTACACAAAGTTAAAATAACATTTCTCAACAATTGCTAATAAGGGTACAGATATTGCACAATATAAATAGAAACAAAACAGCTTAAATATGCAGAAGTATTTGTAGAAAGGCTGTATGCTGACGTGGGGAAATTCTGAGGGAAAGAGAAAATTTTGTTTTAATTTTAGAAAGGTGCATTGGTTTAGTGCCCCTCGCTCATGTATATGTTGCGTACTTCATTTCTATTGTGTTCACAGTGAACTGTCATATTATTTGTACTTTATCAACCTATTATATGTCCAACAATGCAAAAAATGCAGTCTGAGTAGTCTTACTTGATCAACAATCTTTTTACAAACTCAACATCATTTGTCCTTCTTTAGTTCTTTCCTTTTTCTAGTTTTAGGTGTGAAGATGAGTGATCCATTCTGTGCAAAGAACACATACAATATCACTCTAAATAACAGACATATAACAGCTGAGTCTGGAGTATGTGGTTTTTTTCACCATGTTATTTTACTACAGAAGCTAGTTTAATATCAAAAGTAAAAAATTGACCTTTAACCCACTGCTAGAGTCTGACCTGAAAATGAGGAATGGTATCATCATCCTCAATGACCTCATTAAGTTAGACTGGATCATATCAAATCAGAGTTTCTATTACCAAGAAGAGGAACTAATAACTAAAGGACTTATGACAGCTGTTAACCTGTTAAAGCCTGGACCATGAAATAAATGGCAGAAAAATAAAAACAGTAAAATATATATAAAATTCCCCACTCGCCCCTACGGGCGGTCTATCCTTCAAGCTCAGGCCTGGAGCTTGAGGGTCCGGTGCAGTATCTTAGCTGTTCCTAGGACTGTGCTCTTCTGGACAGAGATCTCTGATGTTGTTCCTGCACTGCACCGTGCTCCGATTACCCCTGGGACCACTGTGATCTTCACGCTCCACATTTTCTCGAGCTCTTCTCTGAGCCCTTGGCATTTCTCGGTAATGGTGGCTGTAGGCATCGTCCGTGGTGCTGCGTTAACATCATCTAGTTGACCTTCTGAGGGTACTTCACGTAGTCTTGGTAACCGGCTATGGGGGAATCCAGGTTTCAAGCTTGGCCATGATCCTATCTTTAAGGTCAGTTTCTAATGCACTCAACGATCCTTCTATCACACTTGGGGCTTGGTACCCAATCTCGGGTGGGAATGATATATGTATTTAATTTGACTTGACCTTTTCATGTTGGGTTCAGTTTTCCTCTCCTGAAATTGTTGCTTAATATCTGTTGCGCTTCTTCTTCCTATTGACTTCTCACTTCCTAAACGTGATGAGAGGTCATCACGTTTAGGAAGTGAGATATCCTTCAGCATCGTTCAGTGAGATACATTTCCTGGTCCCTATTCCAGGAAGCATGTTCATCAAACTGAGTGTAAAAATAAACTATGAGTTTATTAACTCTGAGATCAGCAACTCAGAGTTTCAGAGTTTCGTTTCAGATCAGAGTTTCGTGTTCAAGAACAGTTCACCATCGTAAGTTCAATAAAGTTCAGTTCAGTTTAAAAAATAAAAATAAAAACAGTTTTTGTTACAGACTGGTTGAGACTGGTTCCTGGCCCGTGCCATGTGTTGAGGTGCACCTCACTGTATCTATGGGTCATATCTTAAACCTCACACTCAAACATCAGCTCCTTCTCCACCAGAGAAGTGATGTTTCATATCCCAGTTGTCAGCCTTGATATTCAGACATCAGACCACCAATGACTACGTCATTTGCTGGCATTGATACACACTGCACCCAACCTCTATAGCATCTCCTTTGGGTGGTGACAGTGAGCGAGAGAGAAAATTTAATTTAGTTTTTTTCACTACTGGCTAAAAATGCTTCATGAGATTTGCAGAATCTAATCTAATCTCAGCCTTCACTGATAGATAATAGCAACCTTACAGCTATACCAGGAATGTTTTGCTGACTGATTGGAAATCTTTACACTGTGTTTCACAAGCCAGCTTTCCAAATCTATAATGACTCTGAAGTTTTATTGGTAACGGTAAACATTTTATAGGAAATGTCACTTTTATAGATTTTAAAGATTTGAGTCTATTTTTTGGAGAATGAGTTACTTTAAATAAAGAATACAGGTTGTGCTTGGGAAAAAGTAAGGCGTTATGAATGAATCTGGACAGGATGAACTCCAACCTGGACCTGGGCATCTATGGACTAAATCTGTGA